AGATATAGGATGTTTTGCTTTGCCTGTCCAAATTGGGAACAGAAATATACCCTGGGCCCTTTTCTTTTACTTCTCAACAGAAAGGCAATATAGATAACAGTATTTCTAGCCTTGTGCCAGGTGGTAGGATAAGACCTAGGTATAGTTTTCTATCAAATCTAATTTCAGCTGTAAAGTCCTAACAAGTTTTTACACCGAGAATTGGCTCATCTCCCTCTAAGTGCCAAGCAGCCTGGATCACAGTCATTTCACACGGTGTCTGTAAGTTTGTCACAATTTCTCAAGCAGTTTTTTAAATCATATTCACTCGTGCCTCTTCAAGCCACAGGCCCATTTCTCATTAACTAGAGGTGCAGCTGGAAGCAGCAACTTCGCAAGAACACAGCAGCACTCAACCACTCTGCTCCCTCCTGGCATCCATCACACAACTATGGAACTCAACTGGTAAACAGAAAAAGACTGGGCACAGATTTCCATGCTAATCTTCAATATGCTCAGGGAATGCTATAGCTCCAGGGCTGTAATACCCTCTTTTCTGTTGGCCAATAAATAATTACTTTTAATAGAGCAGAATATCTTCAGCAGATGAGTAGATCAGAGACTTACCACAGTGGCTAGGGTACTGTCTATGGTTTTACAAGTATAAATAAGAACCATTCAAGAAGCTTTTTTATTTTTTTTCCCCAATGCACAGTGGGAATTTTGAAATTTCAAATATTTTCATAATTCACAGTTCCATTTACTGATTTACAGAAGATGACAGAAATGCAGCTCACATGCTACGCTTACATCCTAACACATCAATATTTCTCCGGAAAATCTAACCTGATGTTTGTGAAAATGAGACACTGCAACAAGGCCATGAAAGTTGCACCTACCCAAAGTTAACAGACACAAATCAAGTCTTTATCTGCAATGCTCCTGTTTCTACCATTCTGGATATCTCCTCAGGAGACAAAACATGTAACTGTCCTGAATCCTGTTCCAGTTCTTCAGTGTGGAGAGAAGAGCTGGAAGAAAACCGAGACAACCAGATACCACGGATCCTCAGAGCAAAAGGAAGCCAGCTCACAGGTATCTCCCACACAGAGGATTCTGAATGCAATTATTTCTCCAAATATGTTTATAAAATATTTTGTTTGTGATGCATACACAGACAAATTGTGGTCAGCATTAGAAATTAATCAGTGGTCTCAGTCACTACCAGGCAAGGTAAAACATTTAGATTCATAAAAAGCCTGAAATACACTTAGGAACCCTCTTCATATCCAGCTCCTTCAAATTCAAAAGCAGTTGACTGTCATAGTTTCCTGCATACAGGCTTGCACAAACAAGAAAAATTGCTTGATTTCTATTGCCCTGCACTATTAAAAATAGCAGAATAAGCATTACCAAGAGAGGAAAACGTGAATTTTTTTTTCACATCTGCAGAGCTGAAGGCTGAAATGTACCTTCCAGTAAGAAAAAAATCGGAAAACACTTAGCAGGAATAATTAGTCCCTAATGGCCAAATACCTAGGCAGAAAAATTTGGTGATAAACGGAACACAAACCCAGCCCTGCCCTAATCTCCTCTCTTCTGAGGCATCATCAGTTAGTTTGCCCCGCTGAATTTTATATCCCCATCCTACACTTACTGCCTTGTGAAGGGGCAACCCAAGGAGCAGAGGCTGGGAGTCAGTCCTGCCATCAGCGTCAGAGACGGGATCCAACTCATCAGCTTGCAGCCCTACGAAGGACTACTGCTCTCTGCCTCTCAAGTCCACAAATTATAAGGTAATATTAAAATACAAAACAATGCATGCTTTTTAGACAAATTTCCTGACAAACACTTACCTTACATGCTGTTAAGCGTGGTGTCGATTATACATTATATAAATTGACGCACCTTGTGTCAAGTCAAGCACCCCTACAGTGCACAGTTTGATAGGTAGGCAGAAAAGACAGTTTTTATTTTAGTATTATGTGAAAGAAAAAAAAATAGGCATGCTTAGATTAAAAAGAAAAAAAAAAGAAAAAAAAAGAATTTTTAGAAAATCACAGAGTAACAGAAGACATCATGATCATGATAATGATTAGCAACTCAGACGTATAAGCCAAATGTATTTCCTCAATTAGTTACTGCACAGTACCATACTACAAGCAATAAAATGGATTGTGTAATTATTTTGTCTTGTTCCAATAATTTATATCTCAGTCACTTGCTTTCTGTGTCTTCAGTCTTTCTTGAGAACATCTCCTCCTACCCTCAAACACCGTAAAGGGAACAGAATCTCTCAAATAATAATAATAAAAAAAACAGAACACTGTTAGCTCATTCGGTATTCCATTTCTCATGGAAAGAACACTTACATCAAGAGGAAAAGACAGCGGTGCCTCCCCTTGCTCCACAGCGTGACTCCCAGGCTCACACAGCACACTGAGGTGAGCTCAAAGGCTCCTTCCCTTCCCGCACTCTCCTTTCTCCTGCTGCCCGGCCAGCACCACGGCCTCTGCGACGCTCTCCTGCTCACGCAGGTGCCCTCCATGGGGTGGCACAGATGCAGCTAATTGCAGGCGAGCAAACAAATCTGCTCTGCCCAGGGCCAGGCTCCAGCTTGCTCCCACCCTCTGTGTCAAGGTGGCAGGGAGAAAAACACCAGCGGGTTTCTCTGCAGCTCAGGACGGAACACACCCAGAGAGCACATCTATCGAGGCAGATCTGCTTTCAAAAGCTACAGCGTAATGGAGCAAAACATCAGGAAATCACCTGTAATGATTCTTCCCTTTCTGGTCTAAATTCCTAAGAGGTGTTTTCCTCTCTTCCTAAAGCCACTGGCCTCTCTGTAACGGCTCAGCTGTTAATGTCACTATCTTTTTAAACCAGTCATGATGCTTGTCCAGGGCATATGGCCATAACCTCAGTAATATACATGTCCTCTCAGTCCCTTTCTTTCCATATTTACTCACAGTTGCCTAGCTGGAAACTCCACTGGTTTTCTTGTTAGACTCTTAGCTGGCATTTTTCAGCTCACTGTGCCTCCATGTTTTTTTACCTAGGTGGAAATGGGACAGACTCTGGCAAGTCAGTTAATAGCAACTCAGGTGCCCCTTGATGCCCAACTGAAGGAACTCCTTGGCCTCCTCAGCCTTGTTGCTGAGAGACATTTGTTCCACTTGCACTGAGGTTGGTTTTAGGGCAAGCAACATCTCTGTAGTTGTCAAGTACCTGCCTCAGGGGAGCCTAGCCCCTCACTGTGCCTCACCAAACATCTGCATCACTGTGCTCTCTCCAAATGGCTCTCCCACCTCAAAGAGTTATTTCCAGCATGGAGGAGAAATAGAATTTGGTATCTGAGTAAAACTTGAAGTGCGATAAGGGGAAGTGATTCAGCTGTATTCTTTTATTTTTGGCTTTGATTCAGGAACAGTTCATTGTTCCGATGACAGAGTCATAATTGGGCACTTTTTTGAGACAGGTCTGGGGGAAACGAAGCATTTCAGAAATCTCCTTATATTAACATCTCTCCCCACACACATCAGTCCCAACATTGTCTTCTGCAAGAGGCTCATAGCATTAAGAGAATTTTGGGCCAAATGACTTGGACATATTGCTTTTCTCAAAGTACTTACAGGAATACCTTACTTTTCCCTGGAGACTGCAGGCCATGACAAGGTGGGTCTGCTCCCTACCAAGCAAATACATAAATAGACCCAACAGCTTTCGTGATTTCTGCAGCACATACTGAAGTCTGGGAGAGCAAGCCTCCATGATCAAGACATCAAGTCTAATTAAGAAGTGAAGCCCGACTGATTAAATTAATTGGTGGGCTCTTTTGGAGGACTATAAGGGAAAAAAAAAAAAAGAAATAAACGAACAGGTATGGAGTAGAACTCCCTCTTCAGCAGACAGGACTCTAGGTCACTGCTAAGCTAGTGCACCAGTGCTGTGAGAGTTTAATGGATCTTGTTTTGAATTTGCCTTCCATACTGGGAAAAAGTTATTTAAAGTTATTTGCAATCCTTAAAATCACCACTGCAGTTCTCGTAAGTAGGGAAGCAATAGTATCCTGGTAAACAATTCTTCTGTTGGAACTTGCAGATTTTTTTTCATCAGTGTAAATATTTAAATAATAACCTGCTTTTAAAATATAATCTTTTTTATGACATTACTTGCAGGATACTTTAGCGGGATACACAAAATGAAGCATGCAGGAAGTTGAAACAAAGCAATTGATCAGAGCAAGCAGCACAGATGAGAGGTCACCAATGCATGTCATGATGCAAAGACAGAAGATGGACTGTGGGAGTCCTGGCAACTTGACCCAGTCCTTAAGTGCAAACCCAGAGTTGCTGACACAACAGGCAAGAAAGCCCCCATCTGGTGATCAGTAGCATCTCATCTCACATCTTAGTCATGCAGACTCATTTTGTTCTCAATGACCTCCTACTCCTGTATGTCTCCTGTGACAAAACACAACCACGGGCACGGCACTGTACATGATCCAGATCTAGATTTACTGCTGCACAGCCTTGGGTTATATATTCTCCAGTATAGGATCAACAGTGCAACATCTCAAAATCCAGCACACACTACAGCAGAGTGAACATCTGCAAAGCAGATTGGCAAGTACTGAAAGAGCAGTGACAAGAGCCAAGGTGGTCTCCTGTGGAGGAATTTAGAGTGTAGAGCTGAGAGCACACACCAAAGTGGTTTATTTTCTTCCAAAAGTACCTTGGTCACTTGTTTTCAGCACCCTGAAGTAGAGAAAGTCCACCTCAATAACCCCTAGGAATAGGATGGCTACAGCACGTAAATAGTTAAGCCCACTACCCAAAGACTAGTGCATTCAGCTTTGCTTTTATTAAAAACAACGAATAAATGCCTCGAGCTCTGCAGCCATCACGTCACAGTCATCTGCAACCTGAAAACTGTGTCAAATCTGGTAAGACAACACATGTCACTTCATTAACAGAAGACAGGGATAAGAGAAAGCATGCCAAAAAAGATTTCTGACTCACAGTAGCTAATTTCTGAACATCTTCATCAGATGCTCCCAGGGAAGCGAGTCCTATCTCCTGTGAAAACTGGGCAAACTTGGGATCAGCAAGTAGAGGTACATGTCCCAGGAGTTCATGGCAGGTATCCCTAGGGAAATGGTAAGAGCATCATTACAGAAAGAAATCTAAATAGTCCATAATCAAGTTAACATAAGCCATTTGTCATGAAAGTGTATGAAAAAAAAAAAAAGGTAAAAAAGTAGTGCACATGCATCATCTACAAAGAGCTCACAAACAATTCTGAAAGTTTCCCTATACTTGTTCACAGCAAATAATGGACTTGTCAGATCAGATTTTTAAAGTGAACTTCACTGCCATTTCTTTTGCTTTTCCCTTTCCAAAGACATTTCTCTTTAAAAAAAAAAAAAAAAAAAAAAAAAGCTGTAAACAAATGTTTTAAAGGCAGGGAGAAAACATCAAGTTTTCTGCCTTCTACCCAAAATCATCCAATTTGTCTTTTATAAAGTATTTTTGTTCTAAAAGACACAGAATCTGACACTTCAGATAAATCATGAACAGAAAAACAACCCTCTATTTAATTTAATGCCTCCTATTTTCACCTACTGTTCTTCACCAAGAAATCTGTGCCAGCTGTCTCTAGGTAGATAATCGCTCCTGACTGCATGCAAAAGAACATTAGCATTTTTGGCAATGCTAACCTGCCTCACCAAAAGTTTATCAGCTGCAGTTGCAGTAGTGAACAGTTGCACACAAGTGTCTCTTCTCATCCCAGATGGCCTACCTGACAGCAGCTTGCAATATTTGCCCATATTATATTCACACTTCTTGGGGAGGCAGGCACAGCTCTGAAGCTGTGCGTGGTATATTGGAACTAAGCACGTGTATGGCTAGTATGCTGCATAGCAGAGAGGAATTACTGAACTGATTTTTTTTTCTGTTTATTCAGTAGTCTTTCCTAGACGTAGACCTTCCCTAAAAGCAGCTGTACACAGGTCCCAGTGCACAGGGACCTCTGTGCCACATGAAGTTTCATGGAGGTTGACCTGAGACACAGTGGCAGCAGCACAGACTGTGCACTCTTACTCACTGGGCACCAGTATTTCCAGTCAACATCTATGAAACATGTTTGGTACTTGCAGCTGGCGAGAAACAATGAGATATTACTGTTACAGCAGGAAAAGTATTTGTGTGTGTTTTCCACTGGTAAAACCTGTCCCTCTTTCTGAAGGTAACATCTTCCCTCCCTTGTCCCTATATCACTGCATGTTCCTTTAGAGTATGGGAGCTGCCTGAACTCTGCTTTCTTGTTTTATTCCTTTCTTTGGCAATTATGATCTCTACATCCCTTTGCTCAGTGGTGCTCTGAGTCTAGCAAACTCCCTATCAGAGGGTCTGTAACTCAGTTTTCCCTTTCTAACGGGAGCTCGAGTGTGAAAGATTGGCTTGCATCCACCTCCTTGTCCAGGAGATGGTTTGCACCACTCGAGTGGATAACAATTAATGATTAATGACTCTTCTTTATTAATACGCTTCCAGTCACAACAGTTTCTTCCATCACCTCCTCCAAGATTTAGCTCATTAACGACACAACGGGCAGCAGAGAAATTCACTTTGCAGTCTGACAGATACACCTAGAAAATCCTCAGTGCCAAACAGAACTCACTAGATGACCCCAGTTCCCATGAGCATCACTTTCCTACACAGAAATGGGCCACAAAGCCACCCAGTACAGAGCTTTCTCCCCACTTCCCATCATCACTGGAGAAGTCAACACTGATCAACAGTCTGGACACTGTACCTATGCCATGCTGCAACAAGGCAGTTATATTCAAGGTAACTTCATACCAGTAGTTCAGATAATGTGCATAAAGAAGATCCGGTGGCACTGACCTCAAGTTCCTGGCTTCACATAAGCACCCTTGGCTTCAGGCAGGCTTCTAGAGCTGCATCACTACTGCTGCTATCTGAGGTAGCGTCTACCCCTGTATCTACTTGTGCTGCAGCCCAAAAACACACAGAGCGAGGATGGGATGTTCCCAGCCTGCGCTGCGACACGGGCTCTTGGTGTTGCTTCCATCCAAGCACCCAGAAACAAGAACACACAAAGGCTTCTCCTATTAATTTGTGTATCTAGACAAGGAGGGGAGGGTGAAGAGGCAGAAGATACTTCTTATCCTTAGCTTACTGATTTTCTATAAAAACTATAAATAGTAACATTTGAATGTGTAGCTATAAAGCAGCGAGTTTCAAACAAAATGCAAATGAACAACAGCAAAAGAAAAACCTTCCAGAGAGAACCAGGAACCAGCAATGGGGATTGCCATAGGAGTCTCTTAGATTTCCCTGACAGCCTGGTCCTTTAGAGATAGTCTGAACAATATAATTCTTTGCTTAACTACCAGGCTTGATTCTTTTCTTTTGTTTTATTCAGAAAATAATTAAGTTCCTCAACACACACTGCTCAAAGAAAATAAGATATGGTAATGCACTTCTCACAGCAAAAGATTTTTCTTGGAGTAAATTGGAACACTGGAAATCTATATAGTTCTGTGAATGTAGTAGCAACATAATGAAACCCAGGAAGAAATGTTTCTAAATGCATATAGTAGTGATAGAGATGAAGCAAAGAGAACTCCCTAATTGTATCCAGCTCTATAGTATGGGTGTTAAGGCTGATAGAGAGTACATTGAAGTCAATGGGAGTCTTTCTATCAGGTTTATATCATTGAAATGCAACATTCACAGATGCAGGAGCTGCAGCAACCTCATTATGTGGCCATATATCACCTGGAGATCCCAGGGCACTGCAGCTGCTCCTGGGTTTAAAGAAATACCACCATTCCAGGCAGTGCAAGCTTTGCCAGTGACTACAGCAAAGCCTGGACTTCACTCTGCATTTCTGTTAAGGCTTACTATATGCAGTATATTATGAAAAACTGCACAATTTAAAAGGGCTTTCCAAAAATTCCTCGGGAGTTCATTGCAGTTAGCATACATTATTTCATTTACATAATTTTGAACAAGTCAGTCTGTAGAAGAGAGCAACATTATTAGAGAATGACAACGTAATTCCTATATTAGTCATATTTAGAGCTGTTAAGACCATAACCCGGATTTTTAAGTTCAGTACAAATAAGGAACAAGGATCCTCATTCTATTTCAATTACTATTACTATACGGTGATTTGTAATACCCCATAACCAGAAAGGTTATTAATAAAGTTGCAGCTACTACTAAACATTAGCTATGATGTGCTGAGTGTAAGCAGCACCCTGAAAAATAGAGTCTGCAAACACACAAATCAACGAACAAGACAACATCAGCAAAAACACACACACAGTCTATTGCTTCCTGGAACACGTTCCCTCCTTTGTTTCTGTTTGCGTTAGGTACCTAAATCCCTGATCAATGGATGAATATATATTCCTTGTTTATATTAAGTTAGTAAATGTCACATCTCTCTGCTGAGCATTAGCAGATGTTATAAACTGAGATACTGGCTTCCCATTAGAGATGAAATCATTAGAGCAAAGTCTGGTGCTCCCTGAGTATGATTTCTTCACCTGAAATATCTAGAGATCTCTTCAGATAGACCAGAAGAGGTCCAACATGCCACTTCCAATCCCTTCTTTCAGGATTCGACATTTTAGCAATTTTGCCTAATAATTGCTGAGACTAAAGTTCTATTCCAGAGATGACAGAAGTGAGTGAATTACTTGAGTGATTGCCACCAGCTTCCCAAATGAAACATGCAGCACAAAACCAGCCTCCCAACATTTTATTTAGGAAAGGCTTTGCCTGCTCTCGTGCTGAAGAAAAATGTAGATATTACAGCACCACCTGGTGACTCCTGCTAGAATAAAATGTTAAAGCATTAGCAGAAATGGCTAAATATACAGTTCCACTAACACTTTCGTATCCAAAAATGTAATTGCATATTTTCAATAGTCTATTCATGAAATGAAGGGCAGGCATATGCCCAAATGCTTTCAGGACTGGAGCTGAAAATATATATACACATATGCATACATATACATACATATATGTGTGTTTACATGTATATGCATATAAAATTATAAAACCTTTCTATAAATACTGGCCAAAAAAAACACAACACCAAAATTGTACTAGCTGACTATGCAACAGTTAGTATTTCATGCTAATGGTCTGATGACTGACTCACTGCATAAAAACCCTTTCTGTGGTTTGCAAGATCAGTAGATGCCTTTGGCGAAAGTCCCTCCATGCTCCCTGACTGTTGGGTAAATTCCATTACTGATGCACAGAGCACACGGCGTATAATATAAGGCAAAAGACAAAATTGCTTGGATTTTTTCTTCACTTTTCATCAAGAGCCCAAACACCGAAACACTTCATCCAAAACTTGAAATATTCTTTTTTGGAAGAGCTACAATGCAGTCCCGTGAAAATCATAGTTAAACGTCTCTTATTTCCATTTTGTTCTAACAGCCTCTTTGGGCAAGAGAGCAGTACGTTATGATTTGCTTGTGTTGTATCATGGGAAACAAAGTTCAGGTGGGGAATGGGCCCAAAAGAGAGAAATGGGGACTTCAAAAGGCCAAATTATAATTCTGAAAGCATTTTTTTCCAAGAAATTCAGGTTCTTTGTTTAATTTATTTTCCCACCAGAAATTAAGATTTTAAGCATCTTGTAAAAGCGTCTATTGTAGAATAGGTAATGTAGAACGTTTGCTGAATTTCCACTGAAAAACAACTCAGAATTTTTTGAGCGATCATATATATAGCAGTCATTTAAGCATGAAGTTCAAGAAAACACTTTTGGATTAAACTGTGGCCCATCAAAGTGAATGGTTTTGTCACTGACTTCAGCGTAACTTTGTTTTCACCTCGGTGTGAAGGCCTCTCCTCAATCTTAGCAAATGCAATTTGGTCTTTCACGAAGCCAGTCGGCAGAGGACTGGACTACAGCTAGTACATTAGCTATTTGTAACTCTATAGCTAACACAGACACTTACGGTTCTGGTGTGTAGAGAGGATCTGAGCCATGTCGCACGTACTGAGTACAGTGGAAAACTCTATACGCTAATCCAGCTAAAAAATCTCTGGGAGACAAGTATCCAGCAACGGGTCTCACTGTGAAACCAGACCTTTCTGAAGTGGAGACAAGAAGGCGCACATTATGACCACATTAAGTATCTCTATGTCAAATCCTGACGACAGGTATGATCTGTACTTAATTATTCCATTAGAAGCATGACACCAAAAATCTCAGCTGAAGATCTCCACACATAATTTACACCTACTACGTACAAGAACTGTTTGCATTGCTAGCATATGTTCAATAAAAATAGCTTGAAGTAATTAAAAGTTTGTTTTAATAGCTTTAAAAAATAATAACTATATCTGGAGAAGAAGATAAGAGTATGAATAAGTGATGCTCTCGAATCACAAAGATCTGGCTTTCATGTCTGGTGCCAAACAGGAGAGAAGTTTCCAAACCAGAAGATGACTTCTGTAAAAGCACTGCAAGCTAACTGAACAGAATGGGATTAAGCCAAATATAAACTTTACACATAAAGCACCACCTTGTGACAGTAAAATAACATATTTGAGATTCTCATTTAAATATTTAACAAAATATTCCTTTGTCAGACTAATCTCAATAGAAAATTATTTCAAACTCAGTGACTTTGAAAAGGCCGTGCCACTTCCAAGTTCATTCTTTACTTACTTGTGGAAAACAGTATTTTCATTAAACCATATCTACAGATGGAGCAAAATGCCTTACCTTTAAGAAAAATAGAAACATCTTCCAGCTGAGGCACGTTATCTTCTCTATATCCACAGTACTTAGTCAGCAGAGGAAAGTTTTTTAAATATTCACGACAAGCGTGGGTGGGATAGAGCTTACTGAGTTCCCTAAAAACCACCCCCCAGGTTTTAATTTCCTCAGCTGTATACTCCACTCTGGGAATGGGTTGACCACTGTAAAAAATACAATAAAACAAAAATATGTTTGAACACAACCAAGATTCTAGACTGACCTTAGATGGCAAAACAGCTATAAAAAGTGTTACTTAATTAAGACAGGTTAGCCTATTAAAAGCTATTTAAAAATAACAATATGTTTTTCCTAGAATTTTTCTTAATGATCTCTATATTGTACAATTACTTTTATTTCTCTATAATTTATTTCTTATTAAAAAATAAGATTATTTCTTAATTTTTTTACATATCACAGCAGAAGGATGGACTTCTCATACCATACCATGTTTTTATATCAGTTACCACTGGTGCCTTTGTAGATAAGTAATTCCAGATTTGCATGTAGGTTCATAACCCCAGACTTATATCATGAGGAAGCTCATCCAGCAGCCAACAGCCTCTCCTATGCAAACGTAAGCCCCTGAATCCATCTTTATTTCTTTTATTCTCCACAATTCTTCTTCCTCCCCCACCACTTACAGAGATGCATAAACACTGCAAAGCAGGAGTCTCCCAAGGTCCCTCCTTGCCTGCTAATCTGCCTCCGACATCCAAGATTTGCTCCGAGTGGTTACAGTTAATCCAAATTGACTGTGTGAAGAGTAGGAAGGGATCCTTCCAATTTGCACTGCCTTGTATTTAGCTGCCTGGGCTCTCCTATGCCATGACCAGAAGCCATCGATGCACCTCATGAATGCACCCCTAGAAACCTATCATCTTACTCTAGATTTAATGTTCAAAACCTGTCGTATGCAAGTTGCCCTCTCCTCAGGTACCCTTCTCCTGTCCCAGGCCCCAGCCAAGCACAGATCATCAGAAGTATTAAGGATGCAAAAAGAATAAGCCCTCAAGTAAAACACAATTGCAGTCCCTATGTGCATGTGAGAAAAGCCTCTGTCTAAACCTAGCTTGTGGTTGCTCTTTTTGTCTTCACAGGAAACTATTTAATCCCCTTGTCTTTCAAAGTATTTTGATCCACTTTTTTTTTTTTTTGTGGTTAAATAAGTAGATCTCCAGACCAACCTAACCGAATTTTTATTTCCCCATATTAAAACGGGGTCTTTCCATTTTGCCATGGACACAAGTTATCAAGCCGTATTATAAATTCCCTCTATAAACCTTGTATTTCTCCTCCTGCTTTAATCTCCACCACACTTTTGCAATCCCTAATCAGTCTCAAAGGACTAATTAGCAAGATTAACACATTTTCACTAACTTTAAGATAGAAGCTAAGCAAAGCAGAGAGGAACATTTATTTTTGGTCCATTTCTTTCATACAGCTGATTTTCAATGCTGTGCTTTATTAGCTTTCCCTTTAACACCAGCAAATCCCTGATTCTCCAGGTTCACTTCTCACTGTTTTTCTCTCACTCCCTCTCCCCGCTACAGAGGCCTCTTTACATTCAAAGCAGAATGTCTGCTGCTACCAAACAACAGGAGTTCATTAGGGAAACACCAATCAGGGATTTTTTCACTCAACATTTTTTGATAGAGCTAATTCTTCGTAGGCAAATCTCTTCATTATTGTTTTAAAGAACTGAGTTTTTTTTTTTAAAAAAACACTGGAAAATGGAAAGGAGAAAGGCATCAAACCCCAGTTAATGACTAGGTAGGTCGCTAGCCTAGGATGCGAGAGACAGAGATACAAGAGAGTTCTCCAAATTTGCCCTCCAAGGGAAGCTGCCCTTATGATGGAGAATCATCAGCTACATCGTGGTGAAGCGCTCTCAGCGTCTCCTGCCAAAGCTTGCTCTTTTTTTGTATAAATAAGTAAACAGCCATTAGACCGGAAAAGAGTCTGACGACTGCACGGTACTGTCAGGACATCCAAATTTATTCTGAACTCACCTTCTTGGGTGGCAGAAACAGCTCAGCTGCAAAAGCACCGAGTCCTCCATGAGCTAAATTACGTTTACAGTCACAATGCACAGTTTATCTTCCTGCCCCCCAGCCTTCCACAGCCCACGTATTAGCTGCATCATAAATACCAGAAAAGTAGAGCCAAGTAACCTTTACAAAACTGTTTCTGAGTTTCGCCCTGCTAAGATGTGCCTTTTACGAAGGAAGAAAAAAAAAATGTCTTTTATATTTTGTTAAACAACGTAGGAAGAAATCTCAAAAGAGAAGAATGAAAAAATCTGGAAACGTATAGCAAGATTGAAAAGAACATGACATTAATATGTTCTTTCCCTTGAGAATGAGGACTTTGGCCTGTTACAAATAAAATTAAGAGTATGACTGCAGTTAATTGAATGCTTATGTGACAAGAAAAATACGACACAGTGGGTATTTGTACGTAGTGCAGAAAGTTTCCTAGCTTCCAAGGATGGTAACAAACTGGAAATATTGACTTGATCTGGAAAGATAAAACTCAATGAGAAAATACGTGCACTGTTGATGTTCAGACATTAGCACAGGAACTATAGAAAAAAATCCACTGACCAAATTATGATAAGTTTAAAACTGTATTGGCCAAATTAATAAAAGACTTTCTGCAATATACAGTGTATGAAGAAAATGAAAAGAAAAATAATAATGCCTTTCTCTAATGAGTTTGTCTAACTACAGCTTTCCTGTTTCAGATCAAATCCTGGCATCCTGTGAGTTCTTTCTCGAAGTCAGTGATAATCTCCTCATTAAAAAACAAACAAAAATCAAATTAGACTTTCAGGCTTCAGTCTGAAAGTTGAAACTCAAAGTCTACTGGCTCTGTGGAAACTACCAAGGTCGGGGGAGGAAAAGCATACATATAGTGAAATACGTCATGAGGACAGCTGCTTCTCCCAGGCCCTTTGGAATGAAAAGAAAAAAATCTTCAACCACAATTGTACCATAATACAAACTCAAGGATTTTTCACAAAACATCCCATGAAAAAAAAAAATCACTCAGAATTTCCAGACTCTTTCAGGGTGCATCACACTCTAGTGTCAAAAAAATTCCTTTAGTCACAGTCCTTTTGGAGGTTAGGACTGTATGGATCATATATTCTCTTCAGTAATCAGAAATCATCCTAATACCAGAACTAGAAGTAATAATTCTTCTTTGTTAATGACTCAAATGCTGTTCCTCACCTTGTGTGGCCTGTACAGCAGGGCATTTTCCTTCCTTCGCCCTTGTTTCTCTGCACTGTGTGTGTCACACAGGCAGGATCCTGTTGATCCTACCCCAAGGAGCTCGCCCTTAGTCAACAGGTAGTTTCTGGGGCTCCAAACATTCCCAGGACTCATGTCCTGGTTTGACTTTGGCAGGAATGGGATTCACTTAATTGTGACAAAAAAGCAGCTTGTCTGAACAGTAGAGAGCACATGATGCACTCTATGTACAACACATCTTTCCTGGGCACCATTCCAGGTAAATATAACAGTTCTTGTCACAATGGGCACAATTTTGTTTCGGCTAGCAATGTGGTGTTCTGTGACCAGATTCTAGCCCGTGTAGCGATACTAGGTATGTCCCTACACAATATGATTCTGTGGTACATCAGTTTACCATGAAGACACTGTACTATGCATTTGCAAAACAGTTTCTTAAGTTTAAGAAGCTATGCAAAGAAATGTTTAAAAGCTTCACTTACCTTTTGAACTCTTTAGTTGCCTGAATCTGCTCTGAATTTGTAACAGGATTGCAAGCATCAAATTTGTCAATTATAACCTACATTAAATCAGCTAAAGTTTAAAAGCTCACTTTCTCCACTGCAAAACTTTATCCTACAGAATTAAGCACAGTGTGAATTCTAACTAGTCAGCAGCACAGGGGAGAATTATAACAGTACTTACTATTTATAGCTCATGGCAACATCCACAAAGTATTTTCTTCTCTGCCGATAGACGTTGTCTTTGAATCCCTTAAGCGATAGAGAAGAGATTAATTTATAACAAAGACAGACAATTAGCTGTAAGAACTGTAAAATAAATCATTAAAGTGTTTATTTAGTGCCTAATTATATTCTATTCTGATTAACGTCATCTACTGGACTGTAAGAGAAGATACATGAGAGTTTTTTTCCGCCACAGCAGTATTTTCAGGAGAGGCTTGTGCACAGGTTCAGCCAACCAAAAGGTTGAAAATCACGATATTTTTTCTTACCACTCATCTCACTCAAATTTTCTTTGACCTGAATGGAGACCTACACACAGTCACAAAGCAAAATAATCAACTTAATCCTTATGCATCGCTCATCACTAGGACACTCAAGTTCAGAAACAACCCCTTTTGAAGATGCTACTTGGGCAGTTGCCATCTTATCTAACACCTCAGGGACTGAACGGTGGCTCGAGCCTCCGGCAGTAAATACGTACTTCACTGCAGTCTGTGCAGCAGAGGCAGGGCTCTACCTCATGGGCTCCAGCAGGCTCATACCCTTTGCATAGCAAGTCCCAAGGAGCTCTACAACACACACACATGCACAAACACCAGTCACTTAGAGCCCTGCCAGCTATTCAAAACTAAAACTTCTATACCTATAAAAGATTTAGACACTTCAAGTGTGGAGCTGCTAAAGAGCTATCTATTTCCAAGAAAGGACTGCCAAACTCCTGCAGATGAAAAAGGTTAAAATAGTTAAGTCCCACACAATAGCATTTAAGTTTCCCTTAGCCATAAATGGGAAGTAAAACACATCTTCCCCTTATTGCTCACATGCACTAATACATTATCTTTTCATTCCCTTCACTGTTTTGTATTTTGATTCCAAAGTTTTGCATAAACTTGAGGAAATTGAGAGGTGTTGTAAATGCCCTGTAGCAGAAGCTGTGCTGCTGGGGCAGACCAAAGGAGAACATAAAAGTGCAAAAAACCTCCAAGCCTCCCCTCTCAGCCAGGGAAAGCAGGGGGCTTATCCTTCAGACACTAGATGTCCTTTCTCCTTCCTTGGCATCCATCTGGCTACGGGCTTGCTCTTCGCACCTACAACGAGATTAGCTGCTTGTCAACAACAAGTTACAATGAAGGCTGCCTACAGGTAAAAGCTTTTTGGCAAATAAATTACTGAAATTTTTGGAAGTCTCCTAGTCTGCTTAATACCTTTCAACATAAGCACTGAAGTACTCAGCTACAGACCATTCACTGGACCAAAAGGCATGAGGGACAGCACAGGTGATTTAAAGGTCTGTCATATGTAATGAAACTGGAACCATTAACCAACACAGGGAGTGTTAGGTGCTATTAGGCTGGTTCTATAATAAGGTAAGTCTTTGGCCCTCTGGCTTCTCCATGCAACCACTAAGGAACAGAGCAGGCACCAGACCTGGGCTCTGCGAGGCCAATCGCAGTTTTTATAGTTTTTCTCCATCTTCAATACCTAGTATGCGGCATAGGATAACAAATGGTGTGTAAATTATGTTTATACGAGTTCCCCCAAGTGTAAAATATATATTCACATAATGCAAATGTCTTTTTTCATTGTCTATAAAACAGAAAGCAGATTTTCAGCAGAGCACTCAAGTATTTAATGAAGGCGTCAGCTCAGAACATAAAACAGTATCAAATTGCCCATCACAATCATCAACTCAAGGCTACAATGAGTTGCCATTAAGACTGAAATGCCACTGTTTGAACCAAATTACTGTTAATGGTTGAAGGTAATCAACAGAGTTTTCCATTCTGCAAAACTGCTAGGTAAATCCCAGTTTGTCATCAAGAAGTGCACATCAGGAATCAGGATGCAGACACGTGCTCCCCTAACCACAGGCCACGCTGTGGGAAGGCTGGCACTGGCTGGAGGTGCCTGGGAAGCAAGAGCAGCACTTGGGCTTCTCCAGGCCATGACAGCAGACGGGTGTCAGCAGGGACGGAGAGGGGGGCTCCCAAGGGACATCATGATGGCCAGCACAAGATGTCACGTTGCCCACATGGGCACAGTGAGCAGCTGCTCGTGGGCCCCCACCAGAGCAGCTACCAAAGCTTGACTGCCACTTCTGCACTGCACAGAGGGGATGAAGGCAGGGCCAGCAGGGGCACTGGTCTCCTCAGCCAGGGCAGCCCCCAAGACAGAAGCTGCACAGGCACTGCCACACCAGGGTACAGCATGGATATACCAAGAGACAGTTCCTTATGCTGCCATCATCTTTCTGGAGTCAGCTACAATCTCTTCAGGACCCTTTTTCACTGTGTTGGACACACAAATATCATCGTTATTATTAATAAAAAAAACATGAAACTAACACCTAAAAAGCTGCAATTAAATCTTTTTCTATTATAAAACAGATACATATAGTCAGGGAATCTTAGTTCACTGCTTACTACTTTCTTTTGGAAGTTTCTTCCAGAATCCAATTTCCTTTACTTTGGAATAGGAATGAAAGTTCCATTAGTTACCACCAGTAACTTTCAGCCGTGGGGTCCAAAAGAGGAACCTTCAATTTGCAAGAAGCAGGCATGTTCTAACGCAAATTCCTGCAATCACCTGCCATCTAAAGACTCAAAGGTTGTGCACTAACACAGATAAACCAAGAGAAAGAAGAAGAAAAAAAAAAGGCAAAAAGTCTTCTTTTCACTTTCTGCATTGAGTACATCCACACTATTGCAGTATACGGCTTGTGTGAAACACAGACTTGCTTCCTGTTGCTGATGTCAGGAAACAATGCAAAACACATTGCCATATGCTGCATAAATGCAGAATCAGGAACCTGTTGCACTGTTTTGTCTGTTGACTTCTTATTTGACTAACTTTGGGAGGAGTAGCCGATACCCCAGAGGGCTGCGCTGCCATCCAGAAGGACCTGGACAGACTGGACATCTGGGCGGTGAAAAACCTCATGAAATTCAACAAGGCCAAGTGCAAGGTCCTGCACCTGGGGAGGAATAACCCCAGACTCCAGTACAGGCTGGGGACCGACCTTCTGGAGAGCAGCTCTGCGGAGAGGGACCTGGGTGTCATGGTGGACGACAAGCTGACCATGAGGCAGCAGTGTGACCCCGTTTCCAAGAAGGTCAATGGGATCCTGGGGTGCATTAAGAAGAGCATCTCCAGCAGGTCGAGGGAAGTGATTCTGCCCCTCTACTCAGCCCTGGTGAGGCCACATCTGGAGTATTGTGTCCTGTTCTGGGCTCCACAGTACAAGAGGGATGTGGAGCTGTTGGAGAGAGTCCAGCGCAGGGCTACAAGGATGATCAGGGGCCTGGAACATCTGCCCTATGAGGAGAGGCTGAGGGAGCTGGGCCTGTTCAGCCTGGAGAAGAGAAGGCTGAGAGGGGATCTAATCAGTGTCTATAAGTACCTCAAGGGAGGGAGTGCAGAGGATGGTGATGGTCTCTTTTCAGTGGTGGCCACTGATAGGACTAGAGGAAATGGCCGGAAACTGAAACACCAAAAATTCCATAGGAACTTAAGAAAAAATTTCTTAACAGTGAGGGTGACAGAGCACTGGAACAGGCTGCCCAGAGAGGTTGTGGAGTCTCCTTCTCTGGAGATCTTCAAAACCCGCTTGGTTGCAGTCCTGTGCCACGTGCTCTAGGTGTCCCTGCGTATGCAGGGGGGTTGGACTAGATGATCTCTAGAGGTCCCTTCCAACCCTAAGCATTCTATGATTCTATGAATTAAAAAAACAGAGCACATTGTCTACAATACAGTTTCACGTTACACTTACAGGGTGATCTGCATCCAGCTCAGATCCATACATCAAAACTCTCTGTGAGCATTTGTCTAACTCAGATATCTTCCGGGGGAACCACGGGACACAGTCGAGATCTGCAGAAGACAGAATGTGAGTTGAAGGTACGGGGTGGTTCACTGAGGTAGACGTGCAAAACGTTTGTCAGGGTCTAAACAGAGTGAGGTAAAAACAGCCTTGCCTTCCTCATCAGTCCAGATGTTTTCCGGTGGATTGAGAGACACGATGTTAGTCTGGAACTTGAGCAGCTGGATTAGTTCATTAAATTCTTTCTTACTGCAGTCACAGTCCACAAAAATTTCTACCTCCGAGTTCCTTCGCTTGGATTTTCTTGATTCAATATGAACCATACTCACATGTTTCTCCTGTGGAAAGATGGAACAAGGGCTGAAATAGAAACACTTCATCTGGAACAGTAATACTGACAACATGTTCCTCAGGAAAGATTTCACCAGTCATTAAAAGAAGTTTTTAGTAAAGTACTTGTATATACCCACTCAGTTAATTAGCATTGCTTAAGAGATATTAAAGACAAAAAAATCTGTACACTGAATTAAAAATAATTTTTCCCATTAAGTAAATATTAACTGATTATTTAAATTTATTTATGAAGGCAAAAGACAATGCAATATTCTAATTATTAAAAAGAAAAATAAATTGCTTTGCTATAAATATAAAATGCATTTTTATTAGGCAATGTGCATGATCATAATGTCAATTTAACCAAATTCTAATGTGTTTAAGTAAATAGACACTATTTGAAATGTAATACTTTAGTATCTTTTGCAAACACTTGCACAAGAGAATGTTTCTGTGAGGATAATTATATTTCAGTCCTCCTCTACCTTTCAACTAATTCTGAATGACCACAAGTGATAATAGTAATAAAATGAATATCTAGTTCAATTTATTATAATTACCCCATAAGAACTTGCGTACACAAACGTGTACTTGGATGTGAAAATAGTTTTATCACAGAAACTTTCCTACAGGGTCTCTCTCTCATCACAACTATTGGTCTCCAAAGAGTGTCATACAAGAGACAGCCATAATATGTTAAAACTAACTAACAGTTAGTTATGCATAACTAGTCCTGCAAGTTTGTCTTGCTTTAAATAGGAGACTGGACTAGATGACTGCTTTCTACCAACACTTTTACTGATTGACTGATTTTACCTTTTCTCCCTTCCAGCCACAAACCCCATTACTTTTGACAACTTATCCTCCACCTACTCAGTAATGCAAATAAACTATTTTTTTTTTGACTTCCCAAAAGGGGAGAAGCCTGTGCTTGTATTTTCACTGCTTGATATATTTTGTTCCAGTTGAAAGTCCCCTCTGGTACAGACAACTAGCACTCTGCTTTTAAACCCCCAGGTAATTTATGCAGTACCTAATTTTACAGTGGCCACCTCCATAATATATGTATAAGGTAAATATCCCTAGCTAACCTGCTCTCATAACAAAGTCACAAAGGAAAATCCTCCATTTTGTACATGCTATTTGTAAAACAGGAGATTAAAAAAAAAAAAAGCAGAATTATTTTGTTGACCTATTCCTGGCATTTTGAGCATCTACCTTTGATATTCTGAATTTTTCTCTGAAAATCCCTCCTCACTACCCCTCCTCAGACAGGGAATTTCAGCTCTAATTCAATCTGTTGAGAATCACACTTTGGAAATGTAAAATCACTTGTATGAATGTGAGCGCTGCTGTCAAAGTTGATTCTAGGAAACCCTCCCTGAGCCCCAAAAGCTCTGCTGAATAGTGCATCAACTTTGAAGCTACACTGTACAGAAATGAATAAAAACAACAACATTCCTTCCATCAAGGTGCACTGATTTAGACCAGCAAACCACCTGATCTCAATATCATCCCTCAACCCAAGCAGTGTAGTGATTTGTAGCATTTACCTGGAAGAGTCGGAGAGCTTTCACCAATCCTCCAACTTCATTCTTCAAGGAAAACACCACGGCTGTCTTTCCACCTTCAGAAACAGATTCACTTTTCCCATTTCCCTTATTCCCCTTTTTCTCCTCATTTTTCCCAGAACTTGATCTGTTTAGCTACAAAGAGATAGAGAAGAGCATTATTTCCAATGCAAATGGGCATTTCTCAAACTCAGTCACTTTACACAAAGCAATTTTTCAGAAAATGGCTGAACCAAACTCATTCAGACTTTAAAAAGTAGTTCATTTACTTCAAATCAGCATCACAGGTTGAATGCAGCTGGTCAAGATGGCTGTGGCAGAGATCAATCCATTAAAAAAAAGAAAAGCACAAGGAAATACATATGAATGAATGGGATACAAATACACAGACATTATTAAGGTTAAGCTATTATTAATAAGAACCTTGGACTGAACGGAAATGGCCTGAATTATTGCAAAACCACTAACTGAAGTGGCACTATACTCATTTGTACTGGCCAATTTACAATGATTTATATTGGTCTGTACTTTTGAATTATCTATTAAATTTAAAACACTGCAATAAATGTTGCCATGTAGTGTCCTTTTTCCTGAGGAAATAAAGCTTCTATCACTTATACACGTTAGAATAGAAATAAAAGCTTAGACTTCATCTCATTTAGGAGATGAGCGGGCTGATGGAACTCCAAAAAAATAAAACACAAAATCCCTGGCAAATCCCAACTTAGACTTCATCTCATTTAGGAGATAAGCAGGCTGATGGAACTACAAAAAAAATAAAAAGTAAAACACAAAATCCCTGGCAAATCCCACAGACTCTGATTTAGACCAAATTCCAGGTAGTATTTTTTTAAAAAAAGGCATTTTTATCAGCTTAAGTCTTGTTGAGATGCCATTAGATGCCATTAGTACACCCAGTCACTCTCTATCACAAATTTGGTAACACTGGCCAAGATTTTCAAATGAATTTTTAAATGAAACAAAAAAAAAAAACCCACACACACAAACATATCACCATGACAAGTACACTTAAAAATATGAAAATAAAAATCAAGAATCACAGACAACTGGATTAAACTGTTGTTCAGCAAGTTGCAAAGGAGAATGAAAAAGGAAAAAAAAAGAACCACCAAGAATGGACCGAGTTTTCAAACAAGTCCCAGAACATTTGACAAAAGGCAAGTTAAACCTCTAGGGTCATTTTTTCATTATGGATCTGAGTGCCAGGGCCGGTTATCTCACTTGCATCATATCTGTGGTCCTGTGACAGTTCACTTCAGCAAAGTGTTCCCCAGCGCTTCCAGAAGAGATTTTAAAAGATTTCATCAAGTGCTCCATCACCCAGCAAAAAATTGGCAAGTCTTTAGCCTGATTCATTTTCAAACTGGATCACCTGAAACAAAATGTCTTTAACAAATATCCCTGACAGCCAGCGATGAAGCACACTGTCCCAGGGCATCCACATCCAGTTTGGCGTGCCAAAACTGCTTATGGCTTTATTCCGTCTTAGTCCACTCTGGAACACCTCTCTCTTCCAAATAAAGAGTGTACAGTTCTCAAGTCAGCTCCTGATATATTTTTTAAGGCACAAAAATAAAGTGAACTAAAGAGAGGACTAGCTGAAACTTGCCAGCTTATCAAAAACTACCCTGTAAAATAGTACAGATGAAACTAGCCATGCTTAAACTAGGTACTTAGCGTGCTAAAAAGCCTGTGGCCCCATCTCAGACTAGGCAGAAGCAATCTAGACAGTTATGTCTGTGCACAGATACATGAAGCGTATGAAGCACTTACAGCAACTGGGCTCACAGGATTGTGTTTGAGAGGAGGTTTGCTTAGGGATGCATTTCGGGAAGGTTGTTTTACCTAGTTTTAATTTCAGTAATACCTGGGACTGGGCTGAGTAAGTTTGCACACATATCAGCGACCCAAACTCCACACGCTAAAATGTAAGGTATTTGAACAGGATTATTTGAATTTACTGAGGTTCTCAGATACTCTGAATGCAAACCAACTACGGTAACCCCAGCAGGAAGGAGGCACGAGTTTACCCAGGACTTTAAGCCACCCTCGCACCCGCTGCACGCTGAAAGCACCTCACAGGGGGTGCGTCCCCCTTCCCAACAGGGTTTTGTACAGGGAAATTTCTTCTCCTCTAGGCAACTCTCCTGCACAGCTGGCAGAAAATGCATCCATAGGCACCATCCATGTGGTGTACGTTATCGGTACCACGTTATCTAGATTATTTTGTGCGTTTCTTAGTACTATTTTATGTACCACGTCATGAGGTACACAGCAGTTACAAAGAGGCAGGTACCACCGAGACAGCTGCGCAGCGCTTCAAAACGCCTGAAAACGGCCCCAAACTGACGCGGCAAGGGCTAACTTCCCGCGGCGACGGCCAACTTCCCCGCGCCGAGGAGCGCGGAGGCTGCGCCGCGCGGCTCGCGAGCACCCGCACGCGGCGGGGGCGGCGG